TGTGTGTGTGTGTGTGTGTGTGTGTGTGTGTGTGCATGTGTAAGACCCTGCACAATTCATGCTCTCATAAACCGATGACTGTATTTTATCTGCAGATTTGGCATCAGAGGATTACATCAGACAGGGGGGGGTGGCGGCGGGGGGTGAGGCAAGGCGAGTTGATGTGTGTGTTTGTGTGTTTTTTTTACGTGCATGTGTGCACTCATCAGAAAATGAACTGCTGCCCCAGGGGGCCCGTGTCTCTCTGGGTCTCAAACAGAAATGACTAGTCACCAAAGCAACCCCCATCCCACCCAACACACACAAACATGCACACACACACACACACACACACACACACACACACACACACACACACCGTACACACACTCATTGCTTCCATTGTTTGCCTCCCCCCACCACCACCACACACATTGTATTTTTCACAGTCTCTCTCAGTTATTCGTCTCAATCATCTTATCTTTGTCTCTCTCTACCCTTGGTTTCAAAATAAAAGCATGCGCATGTCATGTTGCTGGTCCCCGATGTTGGACTTTCCCACCAAGCACAGAACAGAGTAATAGCGTGGGCTAAGAACAAAAATAAACACAAAATTAATCATCTAATGGCGGAAGTCCTGCAGCCAGATTACACCCCACATTTAATCAAGGGATCTTTGGGCCAACAGATATCTGCCCGAATCCATTTTAGTGCTGCAACTAACTATTTTATTATCAATTAATCCACTGAATGGAGCCTGGATGTAGTTCAGGTAGGCGTAGAAGTCTTTTCTTGGGCAAATATTACACATACCGCCAAATCCTTTTTGTCCACACGGCATTTAGGTGGTCCATATGAACATTTAGCACTCATCCAATCTGCACATTCAAAGCTCTGTCTCCTCGCTTCAACGTCACTGCCTGCATTTAGAAATGAAGCACCCTCCACCTCCCAATCCCTTCCCTTCCCCAGCATTTAGTGGTATGTGATGTGTAAGTATCACATCTATATTTATGTTGCGAATTTCAGGTCCGTCAATCTCGCTCAGATTTGTTTGGAAGCATCACACCATCCCAATAAAACCTTTTAGATCTGTGAATTGTTTTTTCCTATGGAAGATCATGAAAGGAAAGTGAACAATGGCCATCACGATTTCCTAAAGCTCAAGGTGATGGCTTCAGATCAATGATATCCAGTACACAATCATATAAACCAAAGAAAACCAGCAAATTGTGACATTTATGAAGCAGGGACCTGCAAATGAATGTCTGTATGTATTTTCTGTCAATCGATTACTTGATTAAATAATTAATTGTTGCAGGCCTAATTGATTTCATACCTTTTGATTGATTTTGATTTTCCATAAACACACGAATACACTCGCCTCGAGCAATTGATTGAAGATTATTGACAACTAAAATAGTACATTTTCTCAAATGTAATTTGTTGGTTTTCTTAAAGACATTGAGACTTAGTTGGACAGAATACTGACATATGGATGGCTCTGGAGACATTTTATAGATTTATTTATTATATATTAATTAAGAAAATAATTTTTCAGAGAAATCAATTACGTACGTAACTATGATCTTATATTGCAATCTTAGTAATTACATAAACCTCTAAAATACTTTAGGACCTTTGACAAAAGCTTATACGAACAATCCCGACTGCAAGTGGCAACAAAATATGAGACAAATACTGAATCTTTTGAGTCTGATAGTTGTCTCTTACTCACCTCCCCTCCCCCCGTTTCCTCCACGACCAGCCGGCTTATCAAGCCTGTTTCTGGATTGTAGCTGTGCCAAGGACTTTGGTAGCTATGCTGCAGTTAATATGCCTTTAGCAACTACCACATTCACACATGCATCAATACAAATGCAGGGTACAAGCACCAAAGCATTTTCACTTCACCAGGTATTATAAAATCTGTGACGACAATGTAAAAAAGGTTGGTAAACTTGCTCATATACAATCACAAAAGATACATTAAGAGTGCTATTTTAAATAACTCTGAAAGAAAAACAGAAAACCCACTTCCCCATCACTCTAATATTGCTCTATTTAATGTCTGCGAATGCATGTTCGCTAGATAAGCTCAGTAATAGAAAGCACATTAACGCATTGTCTCCCAACAATCTGATACTCCTTTTTTTGTCCCTCAGGAGCATTGATAGGGCACATGTAGATCAGGTGTGACTTGCTCAAAGACACTTCAACAGGCTCTGGCAGCTGTTTGCCGACACGTAGCCTTGAACAGACCACTCTGGCTGACCATCCGCTGCTCTCTGATACTGTAGATTGCTGTACCACAGCCACACACACACTTGCATGCCCTGACTTGACTGCAGAGTAAGTATATTTATATGTTCCTCTGTGTATATTAACAGGTCTCTGGGATTACTCCATGTGGATGTCTGGGAAAGTTCTGCTGCAACGGGATCTACACAATGGAATTCTTTTAACAGGGGACTCTCTGCTCAAATATGAAAATACACAATAGAGCGTAATAAAAACATGCAATATTAACATATAAAGTACAAAAAAACACACAAAACAACAT